TTAAAACACAAAATAAACTACTAAGAACATACTAACTTAGCAAACAACTTATTTATAGACCAACTGGTCTGCTTTGAAGGGGCAATTCTGTAAATAGCCAAAAACACAGTGGCAAGGCCCCATAAATATCATGAAACCATATGGGTAATCCGGTCTTTCAGCATAGTCAGGTTTATAATCGTCTCTAAGAGAACCTAATCATTTCTAAATCTAAATCACGACGAAAAAAAAAAGGATCGCCTTCTCTCATTCTTTCTTTGACGTTCTTCCTCTCATTCTTTCTCTTCTCACTGCCTCCTCTGAGAAGAGAAGAAAGAAGAGGAAACTCTAAACACCACAAATTACCCAATAATTTGTGGAACCTCCGGAGGTTCCAATATGGGGTCCACTCACTGGGTTTATGAAGGGCCAACAATTTGGCTCGAAGAAGGAGGTGCGGCACGCCATTGATACTGAAGCAATGAGTCGGCATTTTGAATGGCACACAACTCATTCCAACACGAAAAGGCTCAAAGTCAGATGCCGTAATCATAACGAGGGATGCAATGTTAGGATTCGAGCCATCAACAGCAAGAGACACGGCCATTGGGTCATATCCCTTGCGGTGAACACACACACATGTGTGTCATCCATAACATGCCAAGGCTACCGACAGTTGAAATCCAGGGTGGTTGCTGCGGCTATCAAGCATCTAATTGAGCAAGATCCTAACTTGAAGGTGAAAGTCGTAATCGCTGACATTGCAAGTCATCATGGTCATGATACCCCATTTGACCCACACTTGTTGGAGTGACAATATCCTGAAGTTGTCGGTTCTCCCACACCGCGATAATTTCCGCCAACTTCGTGGGCCAATCGTGAGTACCTTGCTGACCATCTCGGTGGTGAAACACCCTTTGACTCTCGGGGACTTCCAAAGTTCCAACGGAATGCACTGCTTCCGACCAAACTCACGAATGCATCGATCCGGCAAGTGCCACTCCACGGTCCCTAAACAAATGAGAGGGACCCTCGTGCACCATTGCCCGATATTCTCAGGGAATTGCTATAAATGCCAATGAACGATGTTCGCCGGGTATGGATCGAATTTGATCTACAAAAAAAAATTAGTAACTTAAGTTAAATCCGATTGAAAAAATACATGTACTCCATGAAAAAAGTTATAGCACTTAGAAGTATTCTAGTTACCTCTCGTTCCCAAAGTCGCTCTAGCCTCCTCCGATACTCTACCAACTTGTGTTGGGCAAGGTTGTCGCATGTTGAGGCTCCAACCCACCTTATTAATAAGACGATAATAAAAATACACTCAATTAAAATAAGCTAAAACATAAGGAAAATTGTGTTAGTAAAATCATGATGGGGTATGAGAAATTTACCTACAACCATAAGCTTCGAGTCTTAGGGGATGATCGGGATCCCAATTCCTGTCAGGACATTGGAGTGGTGCAATCCATGGCAGATGCTCCCAAGCCCAAAACTGGACGATGAACATTGCGCCACCGACCTCCCTCACAGCTTTGAGAGATGCGTTGCACAAATGGTGGTAGATATTAGCTAGGCAAGCGGATGCCCAGCTCAACTCCCCCATCGCATCCCAACTACCAAGGAGGATCCTAAGCCATCCACAGCTAATTAAATTGCTCGATTTTTTTGGAGAAGAACACTCCTCCTATCATGCCTATGAGATAGACACGAGCATATATTTCCTTCTCCAGCTCCGGACTTTCCTCGGTTAGGGGCACCCCATCTTTTTCAGGATCGTGATGGTCCGTAAAATACTTCGTCAACCAAGTGATTGATACTTGGCTTTTCCTCAATGGTGGCAAGCGATCTGTCGCATCAACGCTCCCCTTGGTTGGTACTTTCACCCCCAAAACACTGTGGATGAAATACTGCCAACCGGTCATACCGTCACGATCCTCGGGGGGATGATCACTCACACACACCGCTTTGTCGTCGATGGGCAGATGAGTTAGGATGGTGACGTCCTTGAGTGTGATGGTGCACTCTCCTTCGCGAAGTTGAAACAATGTGTCTCCTTCCTCCATCTCTCCACCAATGCGGTGATGAGTTGGCGATCGACTTTTATGCCTACAAAATGCCTAATCGACACCAACCGTGCCTTTTGAGATAGGGCAAGATAACTGGGTTCCATGGGAGCACATTGGTTGTACCCCTGTAGCGGAGTATTTGTTGTGTCTCGTAGCAAAACTTTCAACGTTATATATGATATATTAGTAACAGTTTAGTCTTATAACTAAATAAATTAAAATTAATGATTTAATTTCGATCATTATTAAAATTATTTATGATATATTAGTAATAGTTTAGTCTTATAACTAAATTAATTAAAATGATTGATTTAATTTCGACCATAATTCTATTATAATTATATTAATAACAATCAAATTTAAGTAATTTGCGGTTTTTTCCAAGATATATACATATTATCATAAAACAAACATACTAAATTAATTGACATAAATAACATTCTAAATGAATAATAATTTAAAGAGATACATACATATTCAAACATTTGAAATTAATAGAATTCATTTAAGTAAATCGTATTGGTTGTTTGGTAAGTAATTTAATCGTTTTGGCTGTTTTAAATAATTTAATCGAATACAATGCAACACTCGTTAGACTCTTAGAGGAGGTATACATCTTCTTAGGAACACAACATTTTTTACTGAAAAAGGGGGGATCTGAGGATCTCTTAATACCCGATTTTCCCAGGAAATGGGAGGATCATGATAATCGCTTAAAACCCCATTTCCTTGGACGTGCATCTCTTTATAAAGAGTCGAAGTAAGTGGCGCTATGTATTAGATTAAATTATTGAAAACAATCAATACGATTAAATTATTTCAAATTTATTTTATATTCCACTAAGTACATTAGCAAAATAAAAGAAAGATAAATGATGAAGAATTTTATGTACCGGGTGATCATTCCAAACATCCCTTGAACGATGGTTGGGTTGGTCATACAAGTCGGTCGGATCAATAGGCCATTGATCCAAATAGTACCGTTGGTTGTATATATTCACGTCGTCCCCAACCTACGAGAGAATAACAACAAGGTTAGCACATAGATTAATTAAAAAACTTATAACAAAAACAAAAATTGACCAAAATAATGAGTACGTACCGCTTGAAATTCATCATAATAAACTCCCTCTTCTTGGAACCACTCGTCCATTTTTTCGCGAAAGTCGGACAGAAATTCGGCGGGTTTTGATGGAAAAACCAAAGAAATGTTTTCTGATGGCAGATCGGACTTAGTCGCAACCAACATACCACTATTTCCAAGGATTTTGGGAGGGGAGGGGTTAGAGAGATAATTCTAGAGAGAGAGAGTGGAAAATGGTTGTGTTGTGGTGTGAAGAAATGAGAGGGGAATAGGGGGTATTTATATCCTTCAGACCGCACCCTCCAGGGGCGGTCTGGTAATTTCTCCCTCGGTCAAATCGCTCCCTTCCGATGTGGTCTTCAGTTCCCGAGGGCTGACTGCTCCTTCAAGTTGTGTTCTGCGATCCACGGCACGGATCGCTGACGTGGCGTGCGTTCTGCCCGCTAGATTGCCATCTGATCCTACTGTCTCCAAGGCCGCTAACCACCAAACACATACCGCAACTTGGAGGTGCGGTTCCCAGTCTGACGTGGCGCAAAACGCACCTCCAAGGTGCGGTTTATACATAAAACGCATATGGAGGGTGCGGTTTAGTTGCAAAACGCACCTCCAAGGTGCATTTTGATAAAAATGGTGCTATTTTTGTAAATGTTGTGGGCTTGATAATTTTTTTTAATAGGTTCTATTATTGGAAAAATCCCTTAAAAAGCTTTAAAAAAGCGTATCCGCTTCAGTCTCACGCTTTGTAACACCTTGAATTTTGGCTTCTGGTTCGATAATAATGCGTGAACGATTGGATTAACGGTTACGTATGAAGGGTTGCAATCGCAGATTAGAAATAATAATAATAATAATAATAACAATTATTACTATGTTGTTCTTATTATTAACAATACATATTAATCGGTCCAAAGGGACTAGCGCTAGTCAATTTCCCCATCATATTAATCTCCATAATCCCCATCCCCAGCAGGGAAAACCCCCTGGCACCTTGATCCTTTTCCCCATCGTAAACCCTCGCCTTTTGTAACGACAGTAGCGGCAAGAATATGATGAGAGGAAAAAATCCCTCCCTCGTTATTTTCCACCAGCGGCAGAGAAGAGAGGAGAACCGCCGCCTCGTCAACTTGTTAATGGTAACAAATAAAGGAGGAACTAGTAATTAGCCCGCGCTCTTCCGCGAGATATGCTTGATTTGCGTAACTTTTTATGCTACAAAGCAGGGTCGGGTAGAACTCACAATTCAAACAATTATATTGCTATTTGCTAACTACTAACTAACATCCACATAAACGACCATGCGAACATATGTATGTACATTGGGAGTACATGTTGATCAAACAATGGTTACAGAATTCTGACCTTAGCATCCACGAATGGATTACACAACGGGGACCATTCTGAATATGGCAAAATAACCAAGGGGATCACAAAATAAGTTTGCTAAAAAAGCAAAGGAGCCTACAAATTGCAAGAACATACATACATAAATTGTTTGATATTGTCTGGGAGATCGGAAAGTTAGGTAGATGGGAAAGCTGTTCAGGAGAGATTCACGTAGCGATATATAAGCCGGTCTTCAAAATGGTGTGACATGTATGATGATCACTTGTCAAAGGCTGAGCTGTTCCAGAGCTGAACTACCTTGATGAGTGCATGATTGATGGATTTGGGAATTTCAAGTCTGGCCATGCAACCTAGTTATCATAACCACGCTCTGCGCCGGGAGTTATGATACATTCGCAAAATAGAAAGATTACATATTGTGTATCACAATGAAACTAGTTTAGATGTACCGTGTAAATGAAAATGTAACATAACCAATCAGCCGATGCTAAAAATATAAAAGCTTGTGATACATAAGAGCTCATGAACATTTTATATTGGATTGAAATTCCCCGAGTGAGCAAAGAAAAACAAACATAGCTAAAAGGTCAAAACTGAGTAAAATTCAAGAACCTAAAAACTTTATCCTTTGTAGTGAAGGATTGACCAACGACCACCTACAGTAGTGTATCTTACAAATTAGAAAAGACCACGCAGCACGAACACTTCAACCAATGAAACAAAATAGCTCAACAGTTTAGCTCGCTTGCCAATTTCTCAAACTGCAACCATGATTGTCCTCAAAAGCATCAAACAGATATACAATTCATTGTTTGGATTTCCCTCCATTGATCCTGTCACAATTGGAAGAAACATGTGAATCATATTAGTGTTGAACTATATGCGTGTCATTCACTACTCACCTACAGTACCTTGCCTTGCAATATAATTCATTGCATGATGCTGATATTATGAAAAGTTTAATATCAATTATTAACTGAAGAATAAACAATCATGTAGAACACTATAACATAAATGGAGCGGATTTGAGATACTTAGTTCCATCTATAATATGGAAGGATCCATTCCTAGCCATATATATTGTTGATCTGAAAAGCAAATCCAACTTGTTCCATGGCTTTCAAATATCCAGCCACCAGAAAACAATGACATGAAGGCATAAATTAGAGTTCGATCATAAAAATCAGAGGCAAAACAAATATAGAACACAAAGAAAGAGAGTAGGGAGTTTAAGAAAACATCAAATAAAAGAAAAACCCAAACTTGCCTCCAGAAATATACCCACAGGTTGAAATGCTTATGTGGCTCATCTTGTGCTTGGAACTTATCATCTCTTATATCCCCAAGGAAATACGTGGTACCCTTCTATCACCAGCCACTGTTTCCGCCTCGCCTCAGTAGCACCACGTTCCCCGGAGGATCGGAGAGCTAGTGCTAGTGTACCATTAACCCTTTTGCCCTCGTCGAGGTGGCAAAATAAAAACATCATGTAGATCTGCAAAACCCATCAAACAATCCTCCATTTTATATCTCAGAACACGCTAGACAATACACAAACTCAACTGATACAAAGAGAATAAATAATATCCTGAAGCCAAAAAGAATCCACGATCCGAGTCTTCCTCGCATACTCTCCGGATTGCAATACCAAACCTCCTCTTCATCCGAGAGGTATCGTAACTGATGTGTTCTCAGTGATTCCATGGTCCCTGGCAACGACCACGGAGCTAAAATGAGAGAGAGAAGAGGGAGAGATACTGCAAGCTTGCAAGAACCAAAACAGAAGCTACCTGAACTTTCACGATTGAGAAGCTAGCAGTCCAGGGACTGTGTTATGGGTGCAAAAACATTAATCCAAAACCAGCCACTTTTGCTACGGGTACATGCTTCTCGAATGGCTTTGATTGTTACGAGTATGAAATCTGATAAATACGTGGCATAAAACATTGACAAAGAAAGATTCAGGATGAGAATTAGAGTCACTCAAACAAAATGGAGAATTCAAAGAAAGAAGGCTCACAGAATTCTTAGTTCTTAAGCCTCTTTGCCTCATCTAGCGATTCTCGTCACCACCAAAATACAGTTCACACCGAATGTTCTTCCTCGTGTCATTGATTAACTTAGAACGAACTATTGATATTGGCCAACACAAGAGAATTCATATTCTGCGCCTTGTGAAATACACAGAAAGTAAAGAACATCATTTACAGAGCACATGTGAACTGGAATGAACAGAATATTAACAATAAGGAAAGAAAAGGAATCATACAAGGCACTCTGATGAAGCAGATGGAAGCGGGGTTGCGCCAGCCCGAAGAACCTTCCAGATATTCATTCCCGCGTCACAAAAATCAGCGAATGGAGATTTGCATATCTCGATGAGAGAGAAAGAGAGGAAAATGAGCAATGAATTGCTGGAACTAACAGATGAAAACTGCCAAAGAAATCTGTCAAATCAATTCTCACCATGAACCGAGCGAATCCCCCAGGAATTGGTGTGTTTTGGAAGTGAGACGATGATTGAGATTTCAAAGAAGGGAACCAGAGCACCGCTGTTCTCGACCCATCGTGAACAATAGTAAATCAATTCCTAGGGATTCGATAAAACAAAATGGAGCAAAAAGACTAAGACAACCATCTATGCATAAAGAGAAAAGAAATTGATTGTTTTTAGAGATTTAGAGCTCACCGATTGATTTCATGATTTCCTCAACTTGAGCTTGTAGCTACCCATCGGTCGCTCACCAAGTAAAGAATCTGAAAGTGAGAAGGAGAGAAACAAACTATTAATTATAGTTCCCTCTTTGCCGATGGTCACAGGAAAGCATCTAAATGGTAGAAATTAAAAGGAAAAGAAAGAGAGAAGGGAGATCAAGAAGTAAATATAAACGGAGATTCGACGGCCACCTGAAATCCCAGAACTGCATCCCTTGACGTGAAGAGACAAAGAGAACGATGCTGATTCTTCAAGGAAAAACACCCTCACAGATCTAGGTCCAGAACTTCCTCGACCCAGGATGAATCTGAAAATAAAGAGGCAATAAAGATTTGAGGGATGGAGAGATGGGTAAAGATCATTCTCACAAGAAACTCGCTTCGCTCAAAAAGAAATCACAGAAACCCACCTGATCTGGTAAAGTTGAGAGAAGAGAAAGAGAGATTCTTGTGAGAATCATAGTCGCCGAGGATTTCAAAGGCTCTTTGGTGTCTGGCTACACCGACGAAGAAGAATGATTATCATCGGCAGGTTCTCGGTGAGTGAACAATTCTACGGAACTAATGCCAACAACGGGGTCGCGGTGAGTGATTGGCTGCTGGCAACGACCATGGAGTTGAGATAGAGAGAGAGAGAGAGAGAGAAGAGGAAGAGATGCATCCACGCCTCCTCACCAGAGACTCCAAGGACACTTGATTCTCCTTCCCAGCATCTCTGCAACAAACAAAGCTAGAGAAATGGGGGACCAAGGTCGGTTTTTGGGGATCAAGTAGTGGAGTTCACCATGGAATATGTGGCGACTGATATGTAGTGGGATAAATTGAGCCTCTTCGGCAAACTATTTATGGATAATCCGCCCAGTTTGGTTGTGATCCATAAGATTGTCACGGGAGCCTGGAACTGTAAGGTACAGATCACGAAAGAGAAAATGGGTCTTCTCTAGTTCTTCTTTGTCAATGAAGCGGATAGAGACTGGGTGCTGCAGAGGACTCCAGGGCCAGTCAAGGATCAAGTGCTACACTTCCATCCGAGGGTGCCAATTACTAGAGAAGTCTTTGAATCTTTTGTGATGGTACCATTTTGGGTGCAAATGTGGGAATTCCCTCTCATTGCAGGGCAGCTGCATTTGGTAGAAGAATTACGGGTGCTAAAATTGGGGAGTTCATGGATGCTGGTGTTTTTGCTATAAAGGGGGAGCTAGGGAATTTCATTAAGGCGAGGGTAAAGATTAATGTGTCTGGCCCTTTGAGATCATTTGCTAATAATGATCAAATAGGGGAGTTCCGGGTCACTTTCTTTTGTTATCATTGTGGTCATTTGGGACATACTGCTCCTCCCTGTAAAGTTCTAGATCCTATTAGGATGGAGACTTATGGTTTGAAGCTTTCTACTGATGTTACATGTCATCGTTTAGATGAACAAACGAAACTCCCTATTCATCTTATGCCAACAATGCAGAAAATAGTGTAGTTGAGTCCAGATACGAACCTGGGCTATGGGGGAAGGTAGCAAGGGCAGCAAGCATCCCTTGGCTGATGGGGAAGATATCCAGATGCTGGACCAAGGAACCGAGGGCTCTGCTGTGATCCCTAAATCAGCAAATGCACATTTGGTTGCTGCTCGGAAGAAAGATAAAGAGATGGTGGGGATGGAAAGGTTTGGTGGTTACTACCAGAGGCATAAAAAATTTATGGGTGTGGCCAACCAACAAGATGAAGTTTCATTCAAGGTTTCAGAAGTTGTAGTCGAGGATGGGGTTATGGAGGGAATTGTCGTGGTAGGGGCAAGATGTTTGTTGGGCGAGAACAACCCCGTTTTGTGGAGAACATGGAAGTTCTTAAGCATCAAAATGATTGGAGAGGTGGACAGGAAGGTATAATTGACAAAGATCCAGTAACTAAAGATGTGCAGTATGCAGCGAGTAGAGCAGACCTTAAGGGTCAAGAAAATGGCAATGGTGGACATGGACTTTCAATGGGGAAAGTAGCTACAGTTGTAGTTGAGCTGCAGCATCTGAGGAGGAGCTGGACACTAGGAAGAGGGAATCTGAGGAGGTGGATGGTTTGGTTAATGATCTGCCTCTTAGAAAGAAAGCGTGTACCAATGAGATTGAACCAGAGAAGTAGAAGAATAATGGGTGAAGGTGGCCAGGCGTGAATGGGCCCTAACAGCCAAATGAAGATTTGGGAATGGAACTTGAAGAGCATTGGACCTTTCCTCACGTTTCAAACTTTGTTAGGTCTATGTAGGTCAAATAAGCTACGTCATGTAGACTCGTAGTATCATGTCGTATGAGGGGGTTAGGATTTTCTTCTTTCTTTTTAGTTGATGCTATTAACTCTTCTGGTGGCTTGGCGATGGGGCGGGATAGTAGTTTACATCTTTTTGATTTGGACAATTGTTCTTTTTTATGTTTCTTGTAGAATTGGTAATCAAGTGGATGGTGCTTTGGATTATGTGGTTGTGGGAGTTTATTTTTCTTGTGATGCGCTTATTCAAGCACAATAGGTTCTCTCATTGAGATTGTATCTCCAAGGAATTTTGGTTCCTTACCTTGTGATTGGTTACACGAATTGTGTGATGAATGCTGCAGAAAACACAGGTGGACTACCATGGGATCCAACATCTTCTGTGGCGGTAAGGGAGTTTATGGATTTGTGGGGTCTCTTTGATTTATGATTTGTTGTCCTCCTTTAAAATGGAGTCTTGGATGGAACATTTTCCATAGTCTTTAGTGAAACATTTTACCGACTTGGGTTCGGATCAGAGAGCTCTTATTGTAGTCGATAAACCTTTTGTAAGGGCATCGAGGCCTTTGCTTAGATTTGATGTGAGATGGGTGGATAACCCCGAAGTAATTTTATTCGTAAAATATGCCTTGGATGAACAAGTATTGGGATCTCCAATTTATAGATCGGTGTACTCCCGGAGTATACTATACTCCAAGTACTCCTAATGAGATGTATATCTAGACCATGAATTAACCAAGTTTGAGGTATGATATTATACCTTAACCTCTAATATATAAACCCATGTCTCGATTCTCTAAACCCAAACATGAAATGCAATTTAATAGAAAACAATAATTGAACATTGAGACTGGTTGGAGCTCATCGAAGTACATCTAATGGTTAGATCACTTCGAGTATACTATACTCTCCTGGAGTATACAAGTCTTTACCTTTTATGCATATATGGATGTTGGTTTTATTTTTTGATTCAAGTATAAACGTTATGATATTGATGTAAAATGTTATATTTAGATATGGATTGAGTTAGGGTATAAAACCATATAGTTTTGTCGTACTACAAAATCATAATGGATGGCTAAGGAGATTGAGAGAGAAGTGATCTAATGACCATTTTTGTAGAGGGGTAATGAGGGAGTAAGGATTTGGGGAGAGAGCTGACCGGATTTCACATAGTTTAAGGTGGCATTTAATGTACTTTTTTTTAAAACATTTAATGCACTTTTCAAATCTCATATGAATTTTCAACAGAGGATATCTCATTCATTTTACATCGGATTAAAAAAAATTGGGTAAAAATATCATATTGTTTGTGCTCTACAAGATGATATCACTTTTGCTATTTTTGAACAAAAAATTTGTTGGTCATCATATCACGATATTACTACTAACAATGATATGATGTTGATATGATATGATATGATATTGGTATGATAGTAATATGATGTTGGTATGTGATCTTATATTTTACAAAATAATTTGATGACATCATATCACTTTTGTATCATGATATTATCACTATGATAGTGATATGATGTTGGTATAAAGTCTTTTGTTTGAAAAAATAATTTGGTGGCATCATATCAATGTCATATGAGTGAAATATCATAATATAATAGTGGTATGATGTGCAATCATTCATCATAATGTTAAGATCATGACAGTGATAATAATACAATCAACACGTGTTATGAAGAGCTATTTTTTATCTAAATATAGAAAAAAGGATACCATTGTGTATATCTTAATTAATGCGTCATTTCTGTTAATTTTTTAAATTTTAAGTTAAAATGAATGATATATGATTCGATTTGTCTTCACTCTCCACTACATTCGTGCCAGTAAAAGAACAAAAAAGGTAGAGGGTGCGGAATTACCAATTTGTGCTCCTAATTTTTTGTTGGAATTTATCTAGATGTGACTAAAATGAACGGATGTAGATTGAATTTTGTATTGGTCAGAGGGTTTTGCGTGGAAATTTTTCATATTTTATAAATTTTTATTTTATTTAAGTATGAATTGAAAATTGTAGGGAGATTGTCTTGAGATAGGTTATATATATACATAATTCATTTCCTTTTAATATTTTCTATTTTCTCTATATATTTTGTTAAATTTGGTATAGAAATAATTTCACTTAGTAGACGAACATAACGGGGTAAAATATCTCGGGTGCCACTTACGTTTGAATAGGGCGTCGGTGCGTCGGGTACCATTAAAGTCGCCAAAATGTGCATCCATCTACTTTTCCATCCAATCCAAACTTTTAATTACTTTTTGATACCCAAAAATTTTAAAAACATCCAAAACTATATTTCAACAAGTTTTATCTAATATAATAATTAGAAAATCTTCTAAACATATTATTACTAGAATGACTAATCAATAAAATAGATAAACTAGTAAAAATAGTAAATGAATATCAAGAAGAATAATAAATAATAAATATACTAGAATATAATAATAAATATTTAAAATTAATATAAGAATATCTATTTGAACCCCATAATTCAATTAGAAGCACCATTAGAAATAGTTAAAATAGAATCTAATCGATCATCAATACATCAAAATCAAAGAAGGATAATTGGAACACAATCAGAAAGAATTAAATATATTCCACTAATTGAAAAAATTTAGAACGAAAAGAGAGTAACCAAGTAAAATAAAATAGAAAAGCTACAACATTCGCTAAAAAATATAGAAAAGAAAATATGACTATAAAAGCTACAACATTGTTTAGTTACAACATTCATGGAATAATTCAATTATTAGAACACATAATGATTATTGAAAATAATTATAATGATAATTGATTCTAGATTTTCTACTCAAAAATTGGTTTTGTATCAAGTATTCAAAAGAGGATTCTAATTAAACAATAAAAATGATATTTTTTTTTATGAATCAGTGGGATCTTTATTCATCAAAATTGGGTTGCTAGCAACTTCCCTACTAGCTAGGATATAACAACGAAACAGAATTACAACGAAGAACAAAATCTAACAGAACCGAGACTCTAAGGCAGACTAACTGACCAAAAAGATGATACCCTCTGCAAACCCAACACACACTCAATATCCCCTTGAATAGCCTTCAACAAGACTTGGAACTCTCGAGCTTCTCCTGCATACATTCGCCTACATCTCTCCCTCCATAAATGGCTCACCCAGGCCTGCCAGATTGCACGTCCAGATTCAGCAGCTTCAGTCGATCCACCAAGCTTCCTAGTCAGGAAAGCCATCAACTCATCCCAATTACGCACCCTAGGCATCTGCAAGAATCTGCAAAACAGAGCAGCAAACATCTGCCTCGAGAACAGACACTGAACATACAGGTGATCCCTGTCTTACACAAACAACATGAAACATCACCTTTAACCCCCATTGCAACATTTTCCTTTTAGTATTTATGCTTCCCCAGAATGACTAGCCATGTGATAATTCTGTTTCTGGGAATAGTAGGTCCCTTCCACAAGATTTTCCACCAAGGCACTCTTTGTTGACAAGGCCTAATCAGTTTCCATATCTTCCTAATTGAGTAGCGAGGCATAATAGTATTATCAATCAGAAGCACACCATTACGAACTAATATCAGTGATTCCACTTTGCTTAGCAACTTCAAGAGTTTCTTCCAGTTCCAGGAGCCTGATTTGCAGGTATAAGACCAGAGGTCTCTACCTTTCAGTTTATAACGAATAACCCAAGCAACCCAAAGAGAGCCTTCTTGAAGTAGCATTAACCAAATATGTCGAAGCATACATGCCTGATTCCAACTGTACATGTCCCTGAACCCCAGTCCTCCCTCCTTTTTAGGGTAAGCCAACTTCTGCCAAGCAACATTAGCCCTCAATTTCATACCACTGCCAACTCCCCAGACAAAATGGCTGCAATTCTTCTCTACTTCTTTAATAACAGATTTTGGGAGCAAGAAAACAGACATCCAAAACTGCGTTATACTGTATAAAACAGTTCCCACAAGCTCAATCCTGCCTGCATAGGAAAGGGATTTTGTTTGCCAACTTTTCACACGAGCAAGGAGCTTATCAATAAGAGGCCTGCAAGCAGAAACACTCAGCTTCCCAGAAACCAGTGGAACTCCTAGATAACGAACTGGGAAGTCCCCAAGTTGATAGCCAAACCTAGAAGCCCTCACTGCTCTCTCATCTTTATCAATCCCCCCAAAGAAGATTTCACATTTGCTAGGATTAGATTTCAGTCCTGAGATCTTCCTAAACTGAGCCAAAATTCTTTGCAATTCAAAAAGCCCAAAGTTTGAACCATCAGAAAAGACCAACAGGTCGTCAGCAAAGCATAAATGTGTCAACTGGACACCCTTGCACATTGGATGATAGGGAAACAACCCCTCATAGGCAGATTTATCGATCAAACAGGTAAAAATCTCCATGGCAATAGAAAATAAATATGGGGACAAGGGGTCCCCTTGTCTAAAACCTTTTTTGGAAGGAAAATAACCCACTAGCCCCCCATTAAAACTCACACTCAGCATTGGGGTCTCAACACACATTCTGATCCAAGTAACAAATCTCTCAGGAAATCCCATTCTCATCAGAACTTGACTAATGAAAGTCCAATCAACTGAATCAAACGCCTTCATTAGATCAATCTTTAAAGCACAGCGGGGAGAGATGTTCTGTCGAGCATACTTGCTAACTAGCTCATGAGCTAATAGTATATTCTCCCCAATAAGCCTCCCCTTTACAAACATTGTTTGATTTTTACTAATTATAGATGGTAGCAGTGGGCTCAGTCTATTAGCAATCAGCTTTGAAATGCACTTATAAAGGATGTTACAACGAGAAATGGGCCGAAAGTTTTTCATTTCATCAGGGTTTGGGACTTTTGGAATTAAAGAAAGAATGGTTGCATTAACAGGTCTAGGGATCCTATCCATATCAAAGCAATATCGAATAGAGGAAGTTACCTCAGGGCCTATAAGTGGCCAAGCATACTGGAAAAAGGCAGCAGAGAACCCATCAGGTCCTGGACTCTTATCACCATCCATCCCAAATAGCACTTCTTTGATCTGCTCATCTGTGAAGTAATCACATAGACCAGCTGTTTGTTCCTCAGTGAGTGTTCTTTTTAACAGCTTAGCATATAAATCATCTGATTGAACCTCCACTTCCTTATCAACAACTCCCAGGAGATTTTGATAGAATCTAACAGCAATCTGTGCCATCTCATCAACCTCCTGGACCTTCTCACATGCTCATTTTTGAGCATCCTAATAGTGCTTCTCTTTTGTTTAGACTTAATTGTTCGATAAAAGTATTCTGAATTCATATCCCCTGTTTTTAACCAACTCTCACTTGATTTCTGCCTAAGAAAGCTTTCCTCTGCATCCAATAAATTCCTATACTCCTGACTCAATCTCCTTTCTTCATCAAAATTACCCTCAGCAGGGTCGGTGAGGGCCTGTTGCCGCATCAGATGGAGGGCAGCCTCCTTCTCCTTCACTCTTTCTCTTATATCAGAATATTCCTTCTTGTTGAGCTTCCTCAATAAATTTTTCAGGTTTTGCAACTTTTTACAATAAGAAAAGTAGAATGATCAATTATGAAATTTAGAAAACAGAATGCACTTAGCAGTAAACTTAAGTAGCATTAGATGCACATAGAATAGACTTCAGTCATATCCGACACCCTATTCAATCTTAAGTGACACCGATGTATTTTACCCAACAATAAACCGGTTAAACAACTTGATATTGGTATTTTGGGAAAGGGTTAATACATTATTTTGGCCTGAACTATGACCATATAATCAATTTTGGCACGTGGTTTTAGAAATTAACATACTGGCCTTAACTATACAACATATTGACTCACATGGTTTGACCGTCAATTTGGATGGTCAAAACCGTTGACCATTAGTCTACACGCCATGTCATTGCCTCGTCATCATAAAAATCATTAAAAATATTTAAATTCAAATTATTTTCCTTATTTATCATTATTAAATTAACCAAAAAATTAAATTATAAAAATATAAAAAAATTAGTATTTTATTTTTTGGGTAATTTGAAAATGATAAATTTTACCAATTAACCAAAAATTATAAAATTATTTTAAATTTTATTTTTTGGTTAATTTGAAAATTATAAATAATAGAAACTAGAAAAATAATTTGAATTTGAAAATTTTAATAACTTTTAGACTGACGAGCCAATGACATGACGTGTTGACTTACGGTTAATGATGTTGACCGTCCAAATTATCGGTCAAACCATGTGTCAGGCTAATTAAATCAAAATGCTGCATAGTTGAGACCAGAATGTTAATTTCTGAAATCACTGACCAAAATTGATTATATAATCATATTTTAGGCCAAAATAATTATTAACCCTTTGGAAATTGTAATACTAACATGGACGGTGCCGGTACAGGAAAACTTAATCGCAACGACGCCAACGAGTGAAGAGTCTTCTTCCTATCTACGGAGAGAGACACAGAAACCGATCAAAAAACACAGATTTAATTAACAGAGCGCGAGCATAGAGATCCAGCAAACGAGTCAATAGTTCAATTCGGGCCTCTACCCCGTGACACAGAAATCATACTGCCAGTTCAGAAATCGGAGGAGGACCGGAGGATCGAAGCAAGCTTTGACATCATCACTATGATCTCGCAGTTCTTCGTCCTCTCGCAGCGCGGCGATAATATTGTCTTCCGCGACTGTGAGCCCTTTCTCTTTTCCTCCCCCACAGATCTACTGCGGTTACATTACCTTCGCAATTGGCCATTCCGAATCTAGTTTGATTGATATAATCATTACACAATTCCGTCGCCAAATCAGCATTTGGAACAGATCCGGCGGCTGGCTTTTTCGCTGTCTTGCTTGATTTCTATATTACGCTTGATAACCAGGGGAGGGGGCAATTCTCTGTTACTCAAGTACAGGTGTGTGCATTTCTGCGCTGCCAAGTAGTTGAGCATCTGTGTTTGTTTGGTGAATTGCAGATCGAGGTGATGTGCAAAAGGGGAGTGCGGAGATATTTTTCAGGAAAGTGAAGTTCTGGAAAGATGATGGAGAAGAAGAAGCGCCACCTGTCTTTGTAGGTTTTATGTTTCTGAATAATGTTGGGGTAGTAGTATCAGTTAGTTCCATTAGCTGGCCATGCCCTTGGCTGTTGTGCAGTATCAACTTCGAATCACAAAGACTGAAGTTAGCTCTGTCTGGAAACTCTTCTGAACTAGGGCGGCCATTAGTTGAGTAGATAATTGATTTTGCTGACGTTATTAATGGGAATCAAGGATGTTAGGTTTTGAAGCTGAAGAAATGATGCATGTTAGATTTTATTGCTTGTTCCATTCACCTCGCAAGGGCATGCTGACCTTTGCATGTTGCGGTGATTGGTAAATATGTTGAGATAGCGATGAGATGAGGGACTAGTGAGTTACTTTGTTTCTCGTGGTAAACACCTATAAGCCCTTCAATTTTCTTCGGTTGGGAAGTACATTGTCTAGTTTTGGTGAAAGCAGCCGTTCATTTTGTTTTTCCGACTTCTCAGTCAATTAGCACATTATGATTTCACTTTCGTGGATTTATTCATAACTGAGGGAAGAATGCTTCTACACAGCCCCGTGTCATGCTCTTTGCTTCATGTGATAGTATTTCTGGGTTGTTCGACAACTCAATGGGGGGTTTTCATCTCTCTGGTTTGCACTTACAATCTGCTTTACGTTTGCTTATTTCTTCTTTTTCTGTTTATTCAACAGAATGTGGATGGTGTGAACTACTTTCATGTGAAGGTCGTTGGGCTATTATTTGTTGCAACAACTAGAGTTAATATGTCGCCTTCTCTAGTCTTGGAACTTCTACAACGAATTGCTCGTGTTATCAAAGACTACCTAGGGATTCTCAATGAAGATTCTATTCGGAAAAATTTCGTGCTTGTCTATGAGTTGCTTGATGAAGTCATTGTAAGTTCCCTGTCTCGTGTATTTTTGAAGTCATTGTAAGTTTTGGTTGCAGCAAACTGGAGTTTGCACTCCTTTAGGGTTTGATTGGATATCTCTCTTCTGTAAAACCATTGTGAACCTTGTTACATCTGTGAAGCTCAGTAATGGCTGGATTATTTAAGGATGGTTCTCCTACTATTATTGAATATTTTACGCTGTACACTGTTGACTTCTGTTTCCAGGATTTTGGTTATGTACAAACTACATCTACGGAAGTTTTGAAGTCATATGTCTTTAATGAGCCCATTGTGATTGATGCTGCCCGCTTGCAACCTCTCAATCCTGCTTCCATGTTCATGGTATGATTGTATGTTCAGGTGACATCTTTGTTGGTTGTTCTGTCACTCAACTGGTTTGTTTGATTCATGGACACTTAATGCTCGCAGCAAGGGACCAAACGCATGCCAGGTACCGCAGTAACAAAATCAGTGGTTGCAAATGACCCTGGGGGTAGGAAGAGGGAGGAAATATTTGTGGACATAATTGAGAAAATCAGTGTGACGTTCAGCTCCAGTGTAAGTATTGGTTGTACTCCTCTTAACTCTGAAGTTATGCTACCTTTTTGCTACATGGATATCTATGCAATCTTCAGTAACCGTGACAAGAGAAAGAGAGTTATGTTTTGATCTCAATATCTGATGTTGGATCTTCTACATTTTTGTTTATCAAACTTTCTCATCAAAATTGCTTTCTTAGCTGTAGATATTAAGATGCCGCGTCCAAGATGTGTGTGGAAGATGTTCTAATTTTATATTAAAAAAACTAAGTTTCAATAACCTACTTAATGCTGAGTTCTTGTAGGGTTTGCATAATACCTTTTAGACTAAGTTTAGTTTAAAGGATAGCTGTGGAATGCATTGATTAACACGAACTAGTGATGTAGTACCTACATGCAGATTTTACGGGTGTTCATTTTGCATGTTCATATCCACTTAGCAGATTTCATTTCTAGTTTTATAGGAACAGCATATCATGCCAATGATTTTAGGATTTTTTCCGAAGGAAAGGAGAATGCCTGAACAAGATATGGTGCTGAAATTTTGTACTATAATATGCTGTCAATGCTGGTTTTTGTCTGAACCATTTTATTTGCTTCATACCTATTGGGATGAATTCATTTGGTTATTTCAGTTATTTTCATTTTTTCCCATGCATCTTATTCTTAATCAAGTGTCGCTTCCTTCAAACAGGGATATATATTAACATCTGAAATTGATGGCACAATTCAAATGAAGAGCTACCTTAGTGGAAATCCAGAAATTCGTTTAGCTCTTAATGAGGATCTCGCAATCGGAACAAGTGGAGGGAGAGCTACATATGGTATCTTTCAAGACCTTAATTGTTTTTCTTTTGTCGATCATACAGTTTATCAATACTTTAATTTAGTAGGTTCCAAATTATCCTTTTAAGTTTGTTGAGGGAACGGTTAGGTACTAAGTTCAATATGCTCTGGCCGGTGCTATTGTTGCTAGTCTTACAATATTTTATCCTTTTAAATACATTTTAAGAGGAATGTCAACTTCACCTCATCTCAAATTTACCACTTGCTTTACAGATTATAGGAGTTCATCGGGTTCTGGGTCGGTGATTCTTGATGATTGTAACTTCCATGAATCCGTTCGTCTTGATAGCTTTGATATAGACAGAACTTTGTCACTGGTGAGTAAATCTGACCCGATGCAAGTTCAAATTTTCCATTGCTTTTTCAATATTCTATTCAATTGATCTTGCCAATGCTATTGCCAGGTGCCACCAGATGGTGAATTCCCTGTTATGAATTATCGCATGACCCAGGAATTCAAACCTCCCTTCCGCATTAACACATTGATTGAAGAGGCAGGAAGCCTTAGGGTTAGTGCTATCTCTTACTTGCTGCCATATGCCATTTACTTGCTTGTCTTGAACAAGAGTGTCTTCTGTACTTTTGGCATGTAAATGTGCAAGTTAATTGCAAGAATGTGAATCCTTGTCCCTAATTAACCTTTTTCAGTTAATGCTCTACATTGTCTTTGTGGCTCTGCTGTGTTCTTTAGGCTGAAGTGATTCTGAAGATCTCTGCAGAGTTCCCTTCAAATATCACGGCAAACACAATCATTGTGCAGATGCCACTGCCAAAGTATACTGCCAGGTAACAGTTTTTCTTTTATTGGACCATATTGAGTAAGTAAACTGCAAAATTCTATATAGACAAATTTGTGGAATTCCTCTATGACCTTGATAGTAGGGTCATAGCTTGAAACCGTTGCTTCGTACCTTCTTTTGTTGACCCATACTTTTTGCATTATGGTTTTATTTGAGGTTGTGCTGACTTCATTAGGGCTACTTTTGAGTTGGAGGCTGGAGCAGTTGGGCAGACAACGGATTTTAAGGAATCAACTAAGAGGCTTGAATGGGGTTTAAAAAAGGCGAGCTTCCTTAGATATATACTGTTTTCTTTTATTGCTTTACACAAGTTATTTACCACAGATTAAGTATCTGTAATTTTACCACAGATCTCTGGTGGATCTGAGCACACATTACGCGCGAAGCTGACATTTTCTCAGGAGTTGCACGGTATGAATTTTGAAGAATAGATGAAGCGACTGGATGTTTGTTCAGCTCACTAGGACTGATAATGCTTCTTTTCATCACTTTTTCCCCCACACGAATCAGGAAATATAACAAAAGAAGCTGGGCCAGTCAGCTTGACATTTACGATACCGATGTACAATGTTTCCAAGCTTCAGGTAAGGCAATTTACTCCCTCTTGTGATGAAAAACATATTCTCTATCGCCATAAGAGACTTTTAGTGCCACACATGCCCTTGAATAATTCTCACATATACACCTACTTGCTATCGATCAATCTCCATGGAGGGATCCTGAAGACGCATGTTTTCTTGTATGTGGATTTGTGGTGCAGGTGAAGTACTTGCAAATAGCGAAGAAATCAAGCAGTTATAATCCATACAGGTGGGTGAGATATGTAACCCAGGCCAACTCCTATGTCGCACGCATATGATGATGACGATTCATTCAGAGGAGTGGTAACCGGTTAACCGTTTCCCTGGGTGCTGTATCTTTCATCCAAACAGAAGAAGTACTTGGTAGAGACTCTCATGGATTTCTGTCTTGCATATGAAGATGTACCTTGTTATCTCCGACTTGTTCAATTTTGGTCGATGCAAATCGTGTCGTCTGCATATTGAGTTCAAATGAGATGCAACTGTTTATTTGTTCATCAGACCCTCCTTTCCCCAAGCCTCAAGTTCCAGAACTGCTAAAACCTGAGCTCCCACCTTTCCCAAAACTTGGAGTTCCACAGCTGCCCGAGATAACAAAACCTGAACTTCCAAAAGTAGCAGAAGAACCCACTACTCCTTGAATCTTTCTTTCCCGACTCGGTCATGCTTACTTATTCTACCTGTTGAAGGTGGTGGCGGCTACATCTACTAGTTGCTCATGCCCTCATTAGCCATATGAGGTCTGCTTTGAATACCAGCATTTTAATTTGTGTTATCAAATACGTTTGTCTTATTACTTTTGTGTATCGATTTTGTACCCTTTTATGCTTAGTGTAATTATCATACTTCATCATGTGATTTTTATATTGAAAAGAAAATTATTCCATTTCTATTTATGGTTTTCGGTCATTTTAGTTGGTCCATGGGTGGATATTTTTTCTGAAATCACATCCCAAGGAAATTTTAATACTCTACCTTTCACTATTTAGACTCAACTATTGTTTCTATTATAATTCTCATTTATTTATTTTTCTGTGTTCTTGTAAAAAAAAGTTAAATATTAGCTTTTTTTCAAACGGAACATATAATTCTCATTCATTTATTTTTATAATAATGGGTCGACCAGATCCACCCTCACTCGTGCTTAATACGGAACAGATATGAGTATTGAGATACTCGCTCAGTCCCGCGTGTTGCCATCACTAGATATTTACTATCGTATATCGATGCAGGCAAATGGTAACCATTTGTCGCATTTACTTTGTTCATACAACTAGACTAATTGTTTATAAATTCAAACTCTTGAATGCGATTATACTTGGATGAGACATTTTTACGATTTTTTTTCTTAATAAACAGGATTTTACGAGTCTCATGTGTTGTTCATGAACAGAGAACATAGGAAGGCATTAGGCTAATCTTATTCGGTAAACTCGACCAAATTTCGTTTTTCATCTCCGAATCTCTGTCACGGGTCATTATCGAAATACATTCTAAAGCGGTTATTCCAGTGTTATTAAAGCCGAGCTGCTCGGCTGGCCGGTAAAACCGCCACCCGGTCACAAAACCGGCTCGGAACAGTCTAAAAGCCGCTTCGGTTTTATGTAGCGGTTGGCGAGCGGCCGAGACGATTAACCGTTCGAGCCGCTCGTCCGGTTTTTGCCATTCAGCCACTAAATTTAATTAAAAAATTGTAGAAAATTAAAAATTGAAATAAACAAAAAACGTCGGGCTCTCAAATTGAATCCTTATTTCCATTTCACAATTTCAAAGGAAAGAGATGAGCTCTGATTAAGAAATGTCCACTATTTATACTAATAACGTTTATTAGATACCGGTTCTCTTAACGGTTTTTAAACGGTCTAATGCCGGTTGGACCGCTAAATTGCGAGTCGTTCGCATTACCGGGTCATGCTCCGGTTCGGTTCTGACAACATTGGGTTATTCATCAGCTTCATCAGGAAGTGGCTCTAGATTCCGTTGGAAGGCCTGTGCTTTAAGATTCTTTTTCTATTTTATTCTCAGTGTTTGTATAGAGTTTAGAGCAGTACCTTGAAGTGCAATTGAGGATGTCAATTGTCAATACATAAAGTCCTCCTCTTGAGTTAGTTGCACCTAGGGGTGTGCAACGGTTCGGTTCGGTCCGGAACGGACCAAACTCATGAGAACCGCGGTCCATTAGTGAAAGACATGTTAGGACCAAGGACCAGACCATTCTTGCATTTGGTCCATTTGGTCCGGTTCGGTCCGGTCCAAATATGAGCTCGGTTCACCATTTCTCCATTAATTATAAAATTCATGAGGACCAAGGACGAGACCGAGGGTCCGGTCTTAACAACGGTTTGGTCCGGTGTGATCCGGTACGGACCGGACCATTTCACACCCCTAGTTGCACCTCATTGGAAGGGTTTTATTGTCATTGGAAAAAAAAAAAAAAAAAACTCCGCCAAATTTGACCAAGGGAATGCTCTTCAAAAGCTAAAGAGAAAAGGACACTACGGTGGAACATAAATCATTATATATCTAATTTCAGCATTTAAAATCTCCGTTATACAACATTTCCACGGACCCTCTTCTCTTCTTCTGGGCTGGGGACTCATCCCCTGCACTATACACTCTTCAAGGAATCGTCCCTATATACAGATTACAGAGAAATTAAATCATGGCAGCAGTGGGGGAAAAGGGAACTTCGACAAAATGGTGACGGCTGAGCTGATTTTCCAGTCACACAGAGTGGAAAAACTACCACTTCAGCCCCCCAAATCCCTTTTCCCCATCTCCAACACCACTTTATTTACCCCTCCCCAACCCTAAACTCCAATTGATGCCGCCGGTTCCCAGCTAATAAAATTACAAATGCCTTAATCTGTTCTGTCGCTCACTGATCTCCTAAAGGGTACACCAGATTTTACACCATTTGAAGACAACTTGCTACTAACCCGTCCTACTAATCTCTCCGAGTCAGCTTCTCTACAACTACTACTACCTAATTTCCTACTACGATGAGCACTATGCTTAACCGTGTCAGCGTGGTAAAACCGACGGTCACCTCCTTCCGTTACCCTCCTGCTCCCCGCCCTATTCTCCCAAACATCACCACAATGACTTCCAGATGTCTCTGCAAACCCTGCTGCTGAAGCATCCCGGTCTGTGTTGGAAAGGGGTGAATGCCTCGAGTACAACGGAGATGAAGAAGTCGACGATGACGATGATGAAGATGCCGTGGCGGCGTCAAAATCTGCAGCTGCTTTCCTCCAAGTGCTACTGTTCCAACACCCAAAAATGTAATCGGAAAGATCATCAGCACTCGTGGAATCCCGGGTGCTATCAGTGCTGCACGAGCCTTCATCAGAATTATTGCTGCTGGTGAACGAGTAATTGTCGCCAGATGAGGAGTCCTCTTCCAAGATCCTCTGCAACCGGTGGAACTTCAAATAGAAAGATTCCACACTTGCTGCTTCATTATCCAGAGAAGACGCTACTGAATTGGGCTGATGGTGAAGCAACTCATGATCGCCACTTGATCTCGAACTTATTACTCCCACCTTCGGGTGGATTTTAGAAGCACTGCTGCTTTTATTATTCTTCACATCAGGAGACAGTACTGTTCCATTCCTTATCAACCCTGGTGGGGCCTGGGGAGAGCATCTGCAAGAAGAAAAATCAATCAGTCAACTTACACTACATTGACCAATTAAAAGAAGTTTTAAAGGGATGTAAAAGCGAACGTAATTTATCCTTACCTTGCATAAAGAAGCATGTATGCACCTTTGCTCAAGACCCTTTCCAGTTCAACAGTTGTTACCTGATTAAACAATAGAAGCAAATGAGAGGTAATGGACAATTTCATTTTATTTAGTGTGTCTAAACCAAAATAAAGAAACAGTGGAAAGCTTCGCAGATTAGCAATAAATTTTAAAGGTTACTAAATTGTCACACAGCCTTTTCCAAAGATCCTCGAGATGTGAATCATTCATTCACTAGGCAGGGGTTCCCATTTATAGAAGGTGAGTTTACACTCAAATCCACATGTGGAGTAAAACAGTAACAGCTGAAGTTACTTGAAGAAGATAGAAGGTGCGATATAGCTATGCCTCGATGCATAGTTGAAAACAATACACAGGGAAACATAAATAAAAAATCTTCTCAATGGAAAAAGAAAATCATAAAAGTACATATAGAACATACCGTGCTGTCGTCAATCTTGAACCACCTATTCTGGCTATTTTTAACATAGCACACATAGTGACCGGAAAATGAAGCATTCATTACATCTAGGTGAACGATCACCGCGTAGAGCCTGTAAATTGGCGATTTATCACTTGTACCACTCATGTATGGTGCCAGGTCCAGGATCTCAGGGAACCGAATCGATTTATTGAGCTTTCCAAATTTACCCGACTGCAAAGCAAGACTTAGTCAGATTAAAGCTGCTAGTCTAGATGCATTATAAAGTATTTAAAGTAAGAGACTTGCCTGGAATCTCTTCAAAGCAATTGTAAGTATATTAGGTGCCTTCAATATTGTCAGCTTCTTCTTGGCTTTCTCATAAGATTTGCATCTAAATAGCGTTACAACAACAAAGCGAATCAGAGAACACAACAGACATGTAACAGCAGCATTTAGCTAACTTATAGGTCAAAATATACATCCGTCAAGCTAATCATTTTGCATATACTGAGCTGGGCAGTGAGAAGTTAACATAATCGGGGAAATTAAGCATATTCTACAATTCTGAAACAAATGTGCAAGTCACGTTTGTTCACCAGACTCTGGGGAGACCATATTATTAAGTACTATCTACATCCAACAGAGATCCCCTGAGGAACGAAATATCACAAAGTGATACAGCTGTAAGGTTAACCATACAAAAATGACCATGCATCAAGCACAGAAGTCATGAATCAACACCAGTCTCATAAAAATATTCCAAGTTCTGAAATTTCTGCACCAAATAGCGAGGCGGTAACTTACATGCAGTGAATCTAAGGTTCAAATGCATTACCAGGTCAGTATATACAACAAAATCTATAAAGCATTGCAGGGTGAAATTGTCCAAATATGGTGTCTAAACTCTAAAATAACACGATTGATACAAATCAATTAAAACATAAGTACAAAGCAAAGTCATGACCAACCTGCCGCACTGGTACTTGTTTTCCCCATCTAGAATCTCAGTACTAGTAAATCGTCTGAGCGCATCTTCTAGCTTGCCTATGTCCCCTTCGATTTCAACTGTGAGATCCATCATTCTTTCTTGCCGTTCTGATTTGTAGTGGCACTTCATGCATTTTATCTGCAAAAAACCAAATAAATGTTAAGAATCAACACTGGCTGCACTACACATTATCGCAACAGGTTATTCGGTTCAATTCAAACACAGTATCCAAGGACAAAAGGCTAGAGACAAGATTCGGGGGTTGGACAATTACTGGGGAGAACAAGTACCAACACCTGAAGGTTTGGGGGTGAGCTGAACCAAGTCATCCAGCTGAATGCTAAATAGTTACCTTTGATCTTAGATAGCCCCCGAATGTCAGGCCAATAAGGGTAGTTTCTTCTTCGGTTGAGCCCACTGCTTTAATTCCATCTTCTTTCAGGCAAACAGATTGCATAGCGTCGATAGCATACCTAGAAAGTAACCTGACGGTTTAGAAAGCTACGATGGAAAACCAAATTGAGAAAACAGCAGCTAAAAACTTGTAATTTTAGGGAGTATACCAAACAGAGTCATACACCAACCTCAAAAATTCATGTGCATCTTCTTCTCTCCCATTACCTAGGTTGCTTGCAATGTTCTGTAGTTGTGAAAGTATAGAAACGGGAGAGAGTGGGCTTCTCCCTTCCTTAGCCTTCAAAACCAGATTTTCAAGCTCACAAGTGAAACACCATCCCTTCCTTACACCTGATATTAAAAAGAAACCCTCAGATAACATATGATTAAAAACAGAAGATTATTTTTGAAGCTTGAAAGATAGAAGTGAACCATTAAGAATCATACAGGCTTTAGAGTGGTGTCCTTGGGAAAAATAAGCAGTCAGAGGAGGTGTAAATGACAAGCACTGAAGAACAGCATTAGCATAGCAGCTGCAAGAATGGATCAAAGAGTGTGTCAATAATAGCTGTGCAGGACATTTACAGAAAACATTTAGCTGCCCCCTCATCCAGCCACAGTAAAACGATATAGACAGAACAAGAAAGTGCTTATCTCGAATGCTTTGGACAAACAAAAATTATGCCGAAATTTACAAACATAAAACATGGTACCCAAATAACCTAATTATGTACTTAGTCTGCACCTGTTCCCGCAATTGATGAGTCCGCATGGTTGGAAATCCACCTTGTGAGAGTATAACTTTACAAATAGATCATAAAGAAAAATGCCCTGGTACAAAACAAACTCAAGTGAATTTCTGAAAATTTTACCTAAGCACAAAATAACAAAAGAAAGCAAGACAAACCTTATTACTGTATCTTCCACATTTAGGTCCTCTAAGTTGGTCAACAACCTTCCTCATTGATGATCTCAATCCACTCATAGAACTTGAAGACATGCTTCCAGACTGGTTAGAAGTAACAGGTAACACTTCACCATTTTCAACTTTCACAGCTTTCACAATTAGCAATGGCTGCGCAATCATACTAGAAGCATGCTGCTCAGAAGATAGTCTGGGTTTTGACAAATGTGAAGCTGCTATTGTATCACTAGCAAGAAGATTTGATCTCTTGTTCAAGGAATACAATCCAGAGAATTTCGAAGCATCTCCATACAATGCATCCCCTTCACAACTGGAAGATACATGCGGAGCAGAGGACTTTGATGCAGCCCTAAGCTCATGGGTCATTAAGACTTTTGAATCCCCACAGGAGTCATTCTTGATGCGAGTATGCCTTTCTGAGTTCCCAGATTTAGAGCTACTGATTCTTGGAGCATCCGCAATGATATTCTCGAGTGCAGATTTCCTACTGGGTTCCTCATCAGATATAAGTTTTTCTCCTTCTGACCGCTGTATATGAGAGGAAAGAGCATCAATTCTGCCCATGTTGTACTTCAAGTGACGGTTTTGATCAGATACCTTAGTCTTCACAGCTCTAGCAGAATTGGGTTTAGCATTAACATCATCAACAACAGTGGCCACAACAGACTCTGAAGTGCCACCCCAATAATCAGAAGCAATCTTAACAGGGTTGGTTTTAGAAAATGTAGCACTGATGCTGGGACCTGAGGAACTAGAGGACGCATAAATATTTGTTGGCTCTCCACTATGCGGTTTGATGTCATCTGAACGAGCCATAAAATTAACATTATCAGTGGCATCAGCCAACTTAGCAAATTTTGGAGACAATGGCTCCAGCTGATCCACTTTGCTCAAGCCAGAACGGAGAATGTCAGATGCAACATAGGTGGATGTTTGTCTATCTGGACCCTCAGGATCATTTGAACTGATGCTTTCACTGACAGAAGCCTCATCAGACGATTCCCCGCTCGTAGCAGGACTAGAAAATCCTGAAAAGAAGGTACCTGACGATTCAGATGTAGAATCCACCCCTCTTGTATCTGAAATGAAATCAACTCCAGTATCTTCTTCCTTTCTAAGTGCAACTTCAGGAGACCAACCGGAATCAGAAGATGCATGCTCAGTTGATGATGTATCACTTGGTGCATTTTCCCATCTGGCATCATAAGTATGAGGCTCAATTTTCTCTGCCACCTCCACCTTGAAACTAGTTCTATCATCATTCAAGATGGAGGGAGGATGACAATCATCCTTATGACCCTGTCGCCAGTGGATGATTTGGCATTTTCCAGAACTGAAACAAATCAAATGTAGGTGTAAATGCACCAAGGAACAAGCAAGAATGATATGTGATTATTGCCGTTATAAGAAAAAGAATGACAAGGTCAATGAAGAGTATTGTGCTAACTATTGTACTAAAGAACGAACTCCAAAAGAGTTATAGTCATATATAAGTCACGAAATTTTGCCTGTTGGTGTGCCACATTTGGCTACAGTTAAACAGTTCATAGCAGACAGAAGGAATTTGAGGGGCGCCAACTGCTCTACTAACAACCAATTTCTCCAGCATCATCATTAATATTCAGTAATGTTCGAAAGAACTCATCAACTATCTAGAAGAACATTAAAGACCACCCAGATTTTGTACCCTTGTTAGGAACCTTGAGTATAGTGTCTTTCCAGCAGACTAACGATTCCTAAGAAAATTACTAATTCATTATAATTCCCGATCGTATGCTAGATAAAAGAATCAAGCTTGTTGATGATCATGAGATAGAGAAGCTCTACACATACTCAACAGATCTATCTCCCATGGACAGCATTTCCTACATAGAGGAAGGTGATTCTTTGCAAAGCTAAAATAGAGAAGCCTATAACTCCATATCACAAGGGTAGCACTTCCCACTTACGGAATGATAGCAAAGCAAACCCGGACTTCTGAATCTCTCAATCTCAATTGCATATGCAATCCATGGAGAAAACTGAAACCACATCTCTATATCAACCCTAAAAGCAAATAAATGCTCAGCAACACAACTGATCCTCATTCTCTCCCTTCTAAACATACTCAACAGATCTATCTCCCATGGACAGCATTTCCTACCTAGAGGAAGGTGATTCTTTGCAAAGCTAAAATACAGACACCTATAACTCCACATCCCAAGGGTAGCATTTCTCAAGTGCCAAATAATAGCAAATACAAACCCGGACTTCCGAATCTCAATTGCATATGCAATCCATGGAGAACACTGAACCCACATCTCTATATCAACCGTAAAAGCAAATGAATGCTCAGCATCACAACAGATCCCCATTCTCTCCCTACTTCTATAGCCTAGCCCATAATCAATTCCCCAGAGAAGGATCACCTTAGTTGTAATTCTGGAGCAAAGTAGCAACTAACAGGAAAAGGCTAAGTAATTGAAACAGGGTTGAGATTAGAAACGAATTAGCATACCAATATCGGACGGCTTTGCACTGGGCACATCGCGTGGTGGTTGGGGAATAACAAACAACGCACTGGTACACATTCCGGGGCACAGGGACGGCAGTGTAGGAAACCGTAGCCTCGAGCTCAGCTCTAACAGCCTCCTCGGACGCCAACACGAGGAGCCTGTTGATCTCCTCGTTCCTGGCGACGGCAATCCGCCATTTGCGATGAATTAAGAGGATTGCAATCGGGAAAGCGAGGCACACCGCCGCAAGGACCAGGCTGGAAAAACCTAGATCCCCGGGGACATGCATTTATGATTTCAGACTCCTCAACCTAACACGCATCCAGCGGAATTCACAATCCCAGAAGCTCCTGCTCTCACCCCCACGCATAGAATGAGACGGGCAAACCGGAGGCGGCGATTGCAAACGGACAGACGGCGAGATCGGGAAACAAGGGGCGTCCAATCGGCTTCCGCCGAGGGCTGGGAGAGAAACGAAGGAAAGCCGAAAAAGATGCCAAACACAAACGCCCACCAGTGAATTGCCGGGAAGAAACGCAAAGGGGGAAATGCCCTGATACGGTTTGATGGGAGAATCGCAAGCTCGGACTGTGGAGATGGCGAGGAATATGAGTGCGGGAATGTGGATTTTTTTTTTTTTTTTGGCAATCAGATCGAGATTTTAGGGTTTGTTTCCTCTTATACCGTTTTTTCCTTTATTTTTCTTTTCAACAGAAGTAAAGGGAAAAGAAATGGAAGGAGAAGAGAAGGAGAGCGACGAGGACAAGAAAAAGACAAAAGAGTTTATATCATTTTAGATTCGTAAAAGAAAAGAAAAAAGAAAATTGGAGGGGCGAAATAAATGAAATAGGGGGAGGGAATATTGGTTTAATTTAATAATTTAATAATATTTGGTACGGGTGAGGAAAAGGGAAATTTGATGTTGGAGGGAAAGGAATTTTGTTTTGGAGCAAGTGAGCAGAGAGAAAGAGAGCATATTAGTTTAGTCCGTGTGTTTGTGTATAGAGAAACGTGAATTCTTTGCTCATCTTTAAACAATAGCCCAACAATTTTTTAGATGCAAGGACTTTTTTAAGGAATTCAAACAAATAGGCTATTACAACAATTTTCAAACAAAGATTTAAACATTGATTTAACAATAGCACAAAAATTTATTTGTATCCCGCTAGTTTTGCCCTTTTTTAGGTGCAAGGACTTCTAGTCCTTAAACTTTATGCTCCTTGAGCAAGTTTCATGATTTCTTTCTATATTGGCCAATAACATCATCATTTGCATGCATCAATAGAGTTTTACTCTTGATCCTCACTTGTACATATCATATTCAGTACTAAGTACAACAAACAAATTTCATCGACAATGATTTCATTACGGTTCCAGTATTGTAGTCTAATATGGTTTTGAGATCTCTTCGCTTTCACAACTTTCAAAGACATGTGTTCTTCTAGAACTAAAATTATATTTTATTCTTGGTTACTCTTCTTGAGTTTTCATGTCCTCGAGTTGACCATTCTAATTACAGTTCCTTTTCTTTCTCGAAGATGTTTATCATTGGAACCGATTGGTCTACCACGCTTCATGCACTCTTTCATACACATTTTTTTATTAGAGTATCCAACAAGGATGTCAAATTTAGTTGGAACATTCACAGCTAGTATATGTGACTTGGTCACTTCGTATGGCTAGTAGAGGCATTTGATAGTTGGTAACGATAATTCATCTTATGAATCAGGTTCATGTTTCTTACTATGAGGATCAAAACTAGACAATGGTAACTCATTCCAACTCATCTCTTTGCCTAGCTGTTTTATCTCTTCCCCTTAATGTTGGAAAAGTAATCCATCAAAACAATAATTTCGCAAACAAATTTCCCATTTGGGATTTAAACCTCAACACAAATTCTCAATCTCTAATGAGAATCAACTTAAGATACCGTGGTGGAGCAATTGGGATGTATGCGGCACACCCTTATATTCTCATATGAGAAATGTTAGGTTTCTGACCAAAACCATTTGTAAAAAGGGGGAAACTTATGATAACTTGTTGGTTAGATGCGAACCAATACTATCACTTGCTAGCTAGTATGTCCTCGACAAGAGACTGGAAGGCTCAGCTTGTTCTATTAAGCAAAGTGATGTTTGATTGGATAACCATCAAAATGTATCCATAGTGAGGCAACCAATCTCGCAAACATCGGGTTGAGATTAGATAAAATACACGTGATCATCCATTTGATGCGGCAACCCTTAAAATTCACAAATGATCCACATGACTGATGTATTGTTCTGCATACACGTCCATAAAATCTCAAGAGATTTGCCAACCCTTTTACAAGCGATGATCAATTGTTCTATTTTCCTTGAGAACAAACATGACATAATAACTCTTGAAGAATTCTTTGAATTCTCATATGATGTTCTCATGAATTCTCAAAGAATTTTTTCCACATTAAGATCCGGGATGGTCTAACCGGACCAACCAAATTATCAAGTTATCAAATCTTGTAAACTTCTGGTTTACAATTTTATGTGTACTGATAGTACTAATATATATATAGTACATATTTGTGATGCAAATATTAGCTTTACTATTTTCTTGATAAGATACTCATTTTACGAATATCTTTTTAATTGGGTAATGCATCATCACTAGGCAGTTTGGGTCCTTCAGGCCACAAACCATTAGCTCTTTTAGAGTTTTACCATATTTTGTACCATATTTCGCCCTTCCGGAGACTTATGATTTGATGCATTCTTAGTAAACACATATTCATAGTGAATATCATCACAAATTATTATCACGAGTACATAATTTAGTTACTTCAAGTAACCAATCATAAGCTCTTCGGAAGCTTTTTCTCATTTATGTACTCTACCATATAGTTTATATGAAATTTTTCTAACAATCATACTTTACAAAAACATACTAAAATAATAAATGAGAATATTTCAAACTTAAGACAAAAATTATGAACTTATCAAGTTAATCGTTCTAGATAAAAGTTATCAAGTTAAATTATGCATGAAAATAATGGCACAATAAAACATAATAGAAAATAAGAATCATAATACTACAATTGTGAAAATTTAAATAAGCTTTATTTGGAACAATATCATCACTAACTAGGTGATTTTAAATTTATATATGCCTTCAACATTGATAAAAATAATGATATATGCCTTTCATTATACATTTCAATGTACAATAGGTACATTATGTTATCATGACTTTGATAATATAATTGTTGTGTCATACTTATTTATAATTCTCCTTTTTCTCCTCTTTTCTCACTCTGGTGAAAAGATCCAAACAATACATTTAACATATATATAATTATGTTTATAGTTCCATTCACTTCAGGGAATAGATTGTTTCATTCACTTTCTGGAATGAAAATGTCTCAAGTGCAATATCATTTTCATCTTTAATGGAGAATACACCAACTTATTATACAAAAAATATTTTCCATAATATTGATATTGCATGAGCATGTTTGAATTTGCTCTTCCCTTTGATTCTTGGTAGAATAAAGTCTTTTGCGTACAACGAGTACGAGACAAACGCACTTTTCCATTACAATGGTAACATACAGAACCAATATTCTTATTACCATGTCTTTTTCTTTCTTTGCCCTTGAATTCTTCAATTTCCACTTCTAGGAATATATGGGCTCTTGGAACTTGCATTTTCTACATATCAATGTGGGATTGATAAGAACATGATAACACGGATAACTGAAAAATTAACTCATAACTTATATTACTTTTCTTGTTATTGCTACTACATGAGTAAATTTTAATTTGCGATAATGTCAAAACACCAATTTAATTTTAAGGAACCGATGTATGTATTGTAAAACACATAATAATATAATCAAATTACACAACCCAAAATTTTAATCCAAATAGATGTACGTGATAAAATATCAATGGATGGTATACTACAATAAAAGAGTAGCATCCATCTTAATATATTGGAACGAGATAATCTCACCACAAATAAGACAATAAGATATGAAAGAAGACGAAGATTTGCATACCTTGATCATATTATGATCCTACTCCAATATACTAGATTGTGTAGAGAGTCAATGACCAACCATGATGCTAGCAGAGTTTCGTGTTGATAATGTGTTATGAAACTAATGGAAAATATAAACAACTACAAGAGAAGATTAGAGAGAGAAAGACACAAAGAAGAGAGGGGGAAGTGAGCTTTCTTATTCATTCTTCTCTTTTGATACAATGGTGTGCTTTATTTATAGACACACCTTGGTAACCACTACATCCTTATATCAATGAGAGATAATGAAACATAAAAGAGCTATCAAATGTAGGAATGAGGGTTACATGTAACTCCCAAGTGAGCATCTAATGTGGTAATAGCAATGATCATCCATATATCAATATTTACATAATATAATTAACTAACAGTTGTACTTACTAGGAATTAATTGGTTGATAAAAATTGCTAAAATTAGTAGTCGTTGTGGTCAATTAGCATTGGTCCTAAATTAGTTTTTTTAGGGAGGCAAAAGCCGAGTTATCTAAGTAACAGAGAGGACAACTAGGAACTTACAAGCCTCCAGCTCAGAAAGGACAGAGAAAAGGTAGAAGACTCAAAACTAGAGGGTAAAAACAAAAGCAACTCAAGATAAAAACAACTAAGCGGATCCAGCAACAATCCGTCTAGCAAAACTGACCCCCACAAGGTCTTCTCTGATGATCTTCTCTAATTCATCTGGTAGTTCTTCTAGTTCATGCGTCCTGAACGGTTAGACGAGACTGTGCTTCGAGAGCCAGTCCGCGACTCTATTCCCTTCGCGATACGTATGAACTAGCTTCACAATCCAGTCCTGAGCCAACAATCTGCGAATCAAATGAAGGAGAGTAGAATGCGGATGAACATGATCGGTTCTGTTCTTAATCAGATCAATAGCGAGGGTTGAGTCTGTTTCCAGGACCAGAAACTTGTAACCTTTCCTCCAAGTAAACTGTTACCCCTGGTGGATGCCCCAGAGTTCAGCAAGAAGTGCAGTGGCTTCCCCAATTTTGGAAACGAAGCCGCCGATCCAATCTCCTTCATCATCACGCAACGAACCTCCTGCAGTGGCCATCCCCGGATTACCTTGTGAAGCTCCATCCGTGTTCAACTAAATTAGTTAGCAACGAGAAAAGGAACATAAGCAGAAATCATGATTGAAACTTTCCAGTTTTCAAATAAAAAGAAGTTTTAGATAGTCACAAGTCTAATTGCAATATCTTATAGCGAAGTCAAGCAAATTCATAAACA